ATTTACCTGGGAACTTTTTGGCATTACTGTTAGTGCTGTTAGTATTGCCATTAATTCTGCTCTAGTTGATGATGGGATTGTTCTAAGTTACTTCAGAATGTCATATTATTATTAATTCTTGATCTAAAATCACCCATCCCAGGTTCATGTGGTCTTCTTCAAGTATGTTTTTCATTGAACCATCTGTATATACTTTAATTTCTGTTCTATTATTGTATTATTTACTTATTAATGGTTTTTTTATAAAATTTATTTACTATTGAGAATCTAAACTGTATTTTCAAATAATTTGAAGTATTCTATTTTTGTTCAATATAAAGTTGTGGATGGAGTAGTTTTGGATTTATAGGATATAGTAAAGGATATATGTATATCTTTCCTGGTGCATAGATAATGCTTGTATATATATAAACAATCATATATTTATTATACTATTTGATTTTTTATTCATTGTCTTTGCAGCTTTTTTTTCTTTAATGTTGTCACATCTGAACAGCACACTACAGAATTACACAGCAAATCAAGTTCTCAGTCTCAATAATAGCTTACACTTCTTTGTGTATCGCTATACAGTATGACAACTTAAATAACAACTACAAAATCATGAGTATAATCTGAAAGATGTGTGAGTAAGTGAAGTAGAGGTAATTTTCCCTACATATACTATCAGTGTTAGAACAGATTTATAAGAGATAAAACATTTATTTATGATTGAACAGTAAAAGAAGATTTTATTAGAAGTTGGGCAACAAAATATTACAATGGCATGTTTCTATTCTGTCACTACTTCTAACATTTATTATATAATTATTGTTATGTTTATCACTATTTGTAAATGTTATTATAGTTATTCAATTAATAAAGAAAAAAATAAAAATAAAAGATTAAAGTGTTATTAATTTCTTGAGAAAATGCTGCAAAAAGGAACTCTCTTTTCCTTCTGTTACTACTGCTACTTTTATATTTCTCTCTCCTCATTTTTTCCTTCCTTCCATCATTCCCATCATTTGTACTTCATCATTCTCAACTCATCATCGTACAACTCCATCATTCTCATCATTGTACAACTCCATCATTCTCATCATTTGTACTTCATCATTCTCATCATTTGTGTTCCCACACTACATGTTTTCTGCACTGCCATCTTCGTACCATCTTACCAATCCTTTGTCGTCACCACAATGTAGAATTAGTAAATTACTTCATGACGATGTACTAGGTACGATTGTTATTTTATATCTGGTCTTCTTTGAATGAGTTTGAATGAAGCAAAAAACTTTATTGAATACAATTCTTTTTCCACAGAGCCATATATATATTATATATATATAATATATTACTATTGGAAAAAGCTACAGACCATTAATTAGACAATTTACGAGAAAAAATGATGTCAAAATTTTTTTGACAAGTTATCTCAAAACTTTATTGAACTTCTTAATGGTAAAGATGATTACAATGTAATCATTGAAATTGAAAATCTTTTACAGCAAATCCTAACATATTAAAATGAGAGTTATTACTATCTATAATTACTATATTATTTATTAGATTATTACACGAATATTATTTTTTAATTATAAAGGCCTTTACATTCAGCCAAATGAAAATGATATTGAAAAAATTACAAAGCCAATATTTCTATATTTCTGCTAAATTTATTATTCACAAGTAAGTTATTATCAATAATAAAATAATAAAATTAAATATTTTTTGACAAAATAGAAATTCTTCTCGTGATACTAGCTTTTTGGCTAAAATTTTGGGATTATATCATCAAATGAAGAATTTACTCTTCCTATAAACCTTAAAGAATGGACCAAAGAAAATTTTATCACATTAAAAAATACATTATAACAATGCCTTCTTTATATTCGCCACTTTCATCTTTCATCTGAACCTTATAAAAAGTTTCTCGATCAGTTTTGTTTCAGACTTTCGACTATCATTTCTGAACTTTTTTTTTAAAAAATATTATAATACATTAATTTGATCTTGAGTGGAGAGATGGATTTGCATTACATATGGTCATGCTTGTTCAGTTGTGGTAGTGAAAATTAAAGGAACTGATGAAATAATCGGAGGTCATAATCCTTTAACATGGAGATAACAACAATATTTATTATCCACAGTTGATAGGAACAAATTAAAGTTTTTTTTTTCTCATTAAGAAACGGTAACATTCAAAATTCAACTCTTAATAGAGTAAAAATTTCCTAATATACAATTATTAATCGAAAAAAATATGATCAAAAGAATTGGAAATTACTGTAGAATTCATTATGAAAGAGTAAAAAGATCAGTAAACTTTTCGATTGTCAATTATGAAGTATTTAAAGTCAAGAAGGCTATTTGGAAGTTACATTTTTTAAAAAATTATGATCATTATATTATTTTCATTTTTATACTTTATTGTTATATTTATTAATTAAGTTCGCGTAAAATATTTAATAATTAAATTTTAAACAAGTGACGAAAAAATATGATGCAAAGGTATCGTTTTTGATAGATCTATGGTTATTTTTTTTGATACTGATTATTAACGTATACAAAAGTCAATAAAATTATTTTGGTCCACAGTTTGGATATGATTTTTATATGTGTAGTCATAATAATATATAAGACCATCATATGTCGTATTCATATTATATCAGTATATTTATAATATTAATAAAGTTTTATAATTTTCAAATTTTTTTTTGTGAATTAATACATTTAATGTTTTTTACTTTAAAAACCTCTTCTTGCATTGTGAGAATTCTTCAAATATTATTAATTAATGGTGGTGCATAAATACTTATGATCATCTTTGTAATTACAAAATTCTTCACTCCTGCGAGGATGAAAAAAAGCAGAGGTTTTTCTCATCTTTAAAAATTATTAATATTAAAATAATTGCTACACTATTCAATTTATTATAAAAGTAAAAATTGCATTTATAGTAAGGATATTTTTTGACTATTCTATAAATATTATTTCGATAGTGATAATGATAAATAACCAGGATTAATTGATTAGTTGTAATAAACCCCCCGATTTGCTCAATGATAAAGTAAAATCACGTCCTCATCTTCCATATCAAACTTATCTGCATTGAACGAAAAGCATCGGTGCACGTCTTTGATTTTGATTTATACCCACCAATTTCATAGATCTTATTTCTTGTTTTCAAAACGAACGCAAAATGAACAAAAGAATAGTTATGGATTATGAATACACATGCTTTATATTTTAATTTTTTATTACTACGTATGTGTGAAGTTATACTCTAAAAAATTTCTAGATTCATGTCATGATTATCCTTTGACCGTATTCCAAAAAAAAAAAAAAAAACTTTATTAATATTTACATTTTAGAATTTTCATTTTTCAAAAACAAAAAAAAAAAATCCGGAAAAACCAAATTTTTTAAAATTATTATCTTCGTCTAAATTATTAAAAATGTATTTTTTTTTTTTGAGAAATATTTGTACATAAAAAATCAATAATTCTAATAAAGTATTTTTTACAAGGAAAATTAATTAATTTTTTTTTCTTCTATCTACACTCACTACACTTTATTCATACCCATTATTTTTATTTCGCTCGCAAAATATATTAAATAATGAAATATTGTCTCTCATTAAGCAACTCCGAACATCCAAAATGGCGGTATTCCCCATTTTCGTGATTTCTTGCCTAATCCCAACCGAAAATCTAATTTATCTCTTTCTTCTTTTTCTATCATTATACTACCACCACCCGCTTCATTACTACCATCATTACTACACTCATTACTACTCTCATTACTACTCTCATTACTAACCGCAGTACTATCTAAATTCGTTTTATCACTAAATTTATTTAAATATTGTTGAAAATAATCGTGTTCATCACCATATTCATGCCTTATTCCTAATCGTTTATCATTATTTTCATGTGCTGCTTGAGCTATATAAACCAATGGTTTTAATATATCATCCATATCCATAGTTTCCATCATTTCATCATCATTATTCTCTCTTATTATATCTATTATATCTACATCTTTCTCATTATTATCGTTATTATAATTACTATTACTACTACTACTACTACTACTACTAATAAAGTATTCAAGTTTATTATTATTACGATTTGAATATTCATTTAAATGTTCCATCACCATTTTTGAAAATTTTAATGATTTTTTTGATTTATAATTCCAAAGATCATTTCCGATTCCAATATTTTGAATCACTCTCGTAATTAACATCCAATATTGAAGATTTAAATTTGAATACTTGAATTTTTCATTTTCATAAATTAATAAATTATTATCATAACCTTTGGAATTTTCAAGTTGATTCTTAACATAAATTGTTTCATATGGTTGAGATATTTTAGATGATAATGATGATGATGATACATCATTGGAAATATAAAATTGTTTTCCAATTCTCATTCTTAGACGATTTGATATTCGAAGATAAAGTCTCACATCATTAGTAAATCCTGATAATGAAAGAACTTGTAAATCATAAAGGGTTCCTTTATGATCGGGTTCACGTGCTCTGGCTATACCTTCCGGAGAATTTATCAAATATTCTAACCACCTTGAAGCAAATTGTTGTAATTCAATATATTCTTTATGAGTCAAAGTTTTCGATTTATAAAGTAATCTACAGGAATCAAGAAAATGACTAGGATCGGTTTCAACTAAATCATAAGGGAATGATAATATTGATGATTCATTATTTTTTTTTCTAGGTTTCTCAAAGAATTTTGGTATCATTCTAGGAATTTTGTTTAAATGTGGAAAACCATATCCTTCATCACTTACAGCATCAAAATCATAATTGTAAGATGTTACCTTAAGTTCATCTTGTTCACTAATTCCATAAGATGAAAGGATAAAAGTACGAACTAAATTTGCCGCCCAAAGAGAATAACGACTATCACCAGAAAAAAAATGAGCTAAAGTCAAAGTTGTGATATTTTCAAATAATGCAGAAGTAGAAATTTTTGGTAATGAAAATGGAGAAGTAGATGTGTATTGATCAAATTCATCATGTTGAAATCCTTCTGGTATAAAATCATTGTTAGATGATGACGATGATGATGATGATGATAACTCAGAATGTTCATTTTCATTGTTTTCATCATCATTCACCTCTAAAAAAGTTACTTGAGTATTTGAATCAAATGGTGAATTATTTGATAATTTATATGAATTAGATACATGAAGAGTTATCTCATTTGATTTCTCGATCATGATCTTAACAATTTTTTCGGTCTTCTCATTACCGGACCAATAATTTAATCTAGCGGTATTAAGTAATTTCTCATTATACAAAGATAATCGGTTGGGATCAAATCCTTGATTGGTACGAGCAATTCGTTCATCAATTCCATCTAAAAAATCTTGAATGGCAAGTAAACGATTGAATGCTCTTAACATTCCCGATTCTATATGCGTTAATTTATAAGATTAATATACAATTAATATACGATTAATATACAATTAATATAAAATTAATATAAAAATTAATATACATTAATATAAAATTAATATACAATTAATATAAAATTAATATAAAAATTAATATACATTAATATAAAATTAATATATATTAATATAAAATTAATATACAATAAATATAAAATTACCTTCAAGTGACGCTTTTCCAGAGAAAAGTCTAAAAATCCATCCTACCATTTTATATTTAATTTCAGGTGAATTAAAGTGAGGAATATCATAAGTTTCCCATGGTACAGAAGGTTTCTTATGCATTTGAAGTGGAGAGACACCTAATCGCCATAACATTTCCAACTATACAAATAAATAAATAAATAAATGAATAAATAAAATAAAATATAAATAAATATAAAATAAATATATAATCACGTACTGTTAAATAATGATTAACGTACATATATTTTATTTAAAATATTTTTTGTAGTAAAATATCGTAATAGTATAATAAAAAATATCATACCTTTGATCTTCTACCATAACGCATATTTTCATTAAATTTTTCATCAGCATCATGACGAAATATGATTTGCGGTTCTAAAATAAATAATAAAATAAATAAATAAATAAATAAATAAATAAATATTTATATATATAAATATGTATAAATCACATTTAACAAAGATCTAAATAAAAATTAAAAAATTCTCCTTCTTTATACCTTCAGAAGTAGGTGGACGATTATCCGGATTAATTAATAAATGGGTATTATTTAATAATCTTGTCATGGGTATCACAAAATATTTATAATCATTACCCCATTCATCAATCTGTTGCATAATTTCTTTAAATCCGTTCCTCGTCAAAAAACAATTTCCATCAAATGGCATTATCCATCTGGCATTAGGTTGTAATTGGCCATGTTGTAATGCCGCATTTCTTCCACCGTTCTAAAAAAAAAAAGGAATTAAAATATTAATTAATTAATAAAGTCAAATAAAATTACACACGACACTACTTTTTTTTTTTTTAATCTTACATTATTCATTGCATAAAGATTTTTATCATGATAAGTAAAATCAATGGTTCTCAATTTAGCGACTTTAGAAAAATTCATATATTCATAAGAATGAAAGAAATCGGGTTCAGGAAAATCTTCCAATCTAAAATCTCGTTTGAAATATTCATCCGAATCAAAAGGTATTCTAATATAATCTTGTTTATGATATCTTAACAATGTTAAAATTGCATTCTCATAATCGGAATCAACTATTCTATTTATTATCCACCATTTCTTGGTATTAGAAAAATTTGATTCATTCTCTAATATGAATCTTAAGTTTTGTAAGATTTGACCTGATTTATGACGAGGTGGTAAATCATTACCAAGGATACGATAAAGATGTATTTGTTCATGCGAAGATTGGGTGTGATGATTATGATGATTATATATTATGGGATCATGATAATTTTGTTTATTATTATTATTATTATTATTATCATTGTTGTTATTCAGTTTATTCTTGTTATTAGTATTAGAAAATTGTAATGTGTTGATAGGTAAAAACCAAACATAAGTTAAGAAAATAATCATTAAAGTTAATATAATTAAACTTAATGTCTTCCTTAAAAATCGTTCTCGTATTATCGCATTTTGTAGTCTTGAAAATGAACGCTCAAAATAAATTCCTCTTTCAACAACACTACCATCGATGCTATCTCTACCTATACCAATAACAATTCTACTGTTATTATAATAATGAGGTAAATTTCCGATGTTCTTATTATCAGCATTCAGTGATCTATTGAAATAATCTGATCTATTACGTTTTGAGATTGATGTCGTTATCATGGTAATCTTCTATCTTCTTCTATCTTGCTTTTTTATATTTTATTGTTAATTTCTGTTACTTTGAGATATATAATATGAAGATAATCTATATGAGGTTGTGGGTAATAAAAATTCTATGTACAAAAAAATATTGTTAGAATAAAATAATAAAAAAAAAAAAAAGGAATTAATTATGATTAAATGTTGCATTATTAATGTTAATATATGTTAATAACTGTAATTACCTTCCGTTTATTATAATTAAAATTTTATCTTTATTTGCTTAGTTTAACAAAATTTTATAAACAAAGTTCGTGAAGGAAGAAACGTTATTTCCTTTTCTTAGTGTAATTTCTTCGGTAATATACTTAAATATACAATATCTAAGTGATGCGGGCGGATTATAATAATTCCGAAAAAAATATATTATTAAAATATATTTTCGATAATTGATGATGAAGAAGAGACAATTATTAAATAATAATTTTTAAAATTCGAAAAAAAAAAAAAATTTTTTTTTTTATTCCCGACAGTACATTTTGCCTTTATATATAAATTTTAAATAATAAATGTATTAAGTATAATGGATTGGATGTTAGAGTACAATTAATGAATACAGTAAAATAAAGAAATATTTTTTTCGTGTTACGTACAAACCAGAGTTTTTTTTAGTTTTTTTTAAGAAATAAAATGAATGAACTTTATAATAATAAAAGTAAAATGATTAAAGTTATCCAAGGAGATATTTAAGATCAAATAAAATGATATTAAGAATTTTTAAGAAAATATTAAGAAACAAAGTCTCGAGTATTTATAAATAGTATATATAAATAAACTGAATATAAATAAGTCGTATGATTCAAATAAATCCAAAAAAAAAAATTTTTACAAATAAAGAAAAAGGTTTCAAAAGTTTTATTTTTATTTTTAATTTTTTTCTTATTTTTATTTTATTTACTTTTTTTATTTATGATTTTAAATAAAATAAAAATTGATCTTTTAATATTCTCCGCTCCGATCAAACAAAATCGTATATATGTACTTGGTCATACTAAATTATACTGTACATAGACTACGAATGATCATCATTTATGACTACTTTTCTATTACATTATTCTATTGAGAACGCACAGAACATTTCCTCTGATACATAAATTCAATAATATTATTGTAATCATAATACTTAAAAACAATCATATAACAAACAATGAGAGTATAATAAAATATGAACAAAGCCGATCTGACAAGTTTTTTCTATTTTTTTTTTGTTTTTTTACTTCCCGGAAATTCATTCATTTAAAATGTTTCAGAAAATTAAATTTATTTTAATCTAAGAATAACTCGACTATCACTAATTAATATATGAAACTAAATAATATTTTAATTTTATTTATCCCTTGTTTATTTCTCACAAAGTTTATTTTTTTACACAATGGGATTTTTTTTTTTTGAAACAAACAAAAATCGACACGAGTAACAGTTTGAACTAATAAGGCATTACAACAACCAAATATATTAACATTTTTAACATTTAAATAACTAAATACGGTGTAATGAAACTCTTTAATATCTAATGAAATTCATCTATAATTTAAATGAATAAATGTAATATTTTCGTATGTTAAAAAAAAAATTGATGTCATGAATTCATTTTTGTTGATATATGCATACATAGTTTATATTATGTGATTCTTTACAGTGAGAATGAGAATGGTGAAAAAATTATTATCCCTTAAACGGTAATCATGTGAATTGCCGGGCAAATTTGTAACTTGTGACGTAACTACCGTTTAAGGGATAGTAAATGCATAATTATAATTAATTAATAAGTAGAGTTAACGGTTCAGTTCAGATTAACACAATACATATATATAATTTTTATGCAGTTAAATGGTTGACCCAATTTAGAAATTACTAATCAATAATTGATCATTATTTTTTTTTTTTTCTATTTTAGGATTGGTTTTTTAAAATCAATAATAAAATTTGTCACGTTAGTTAAAATTAATTAATAATTTAAATATGATCATCCGACTATTTTATTAAATATTGATTTTAATTATTGATTTTAATTATTTGTAACAAATCAAGAGACGAGTATTTAAGGATTTAATATAGTGTAGTAGTTAAAATATAATAAATAAGCACTAAATAGGTACGACGCACTTTACTACAATTATTAAAGTTTTTAGTTTAGCCTTTAAAGTTGGTCATTAACTATGAGAAGGAAGAGAGGGAACAGAAAAGTAGCTGTTGTGTTCAATTTAAAATTTATATACCGCAGTAATTCTGTACGTTTGTACTTTTTTTTTTTTTTTTTTTTTTTTTTGCAAATGTGGAATACGTAATAATATATTTTCAAGGAGATAGTTTATTCCGCATTAACTCATTATTGATTATATCATATATCATCATCGTATTTAAAAAAAGGAACATCGATTATTTAAGTTTAATTCATGTCATTTCATGCGAGATCGTTGAACCGTCACAGTTTAAAGTTTATAAAATATCCAGTAAAATTTAAGAAATTATAATTATGGTAAAATCATCATACAATCTAGAATTAGATATTTATAAAGTTTTCGTAACTCAATCTCTGAACAAAAAGTTTGATCTTTCTATATGCGATGTGTCCCGTTATAAATTATTTTTTTTATCTATTTTGAATTTCGCTCAACTTAAAGAAAAATCCTTTTCATATGTATATGTAATAATAAACCAATAGATCAATCGATTTTTGTATAACATGACATGATTAATTTATGCTATGCAATAATGATTGAAAGGAATTAATTATTAATAATGAAAAAAAATAATATTTATAGTGTTAAAATCAAACCTGGGGAAACTTTTCTAATTAATATTTTATATGTTCAAGAATATTATGAATTTCAATGATTAATCGAATCGTATATGATATTTGAATGTTAAAACTTTTCTACTTTTCATATTAATAATTTGGATTATTTTAATAATTTCAAATAAAGTATTAAGTTTTATTTAGCATGAATACAAGGTTTAGTTTTTAAAAATACAAAAAAAAATATTTCCTTCTTTAAGATTTTCTAACAACTTTAAATACTTCGTAATTGATAATTGAAAAGTATTTCGATGATGACCTTATAGATCTTTCATAAGCTCGGCCACTATTTTTACAGTAACATCGATCATCTAAATAAAGTAAAGTTATATTTATTACTAACCATAAAAAAATCATCAGGACCAAAACATGGACCATAATCTTTTTGTAGAATTTTTCCTATGTTATAGATTGCATTATTTCGATCTTTTACGCTGCTTAAAATTGAATTTTGAATATTTTCATTTTTTTAATGAGAAAATAAAACTGTCATTTGTTACAGCCCATTTATTACAAGTATTGATGTTATCCCATGCTAAAGGATTATAACCTCCAACAATCTCATCTGTTCCTTTAACTCTTGATACAACAACTGTACCGGTGTGACCATGGCAAATATCCCAAAATGTTTGTGGAGCAGCAAATCCATCTCTAGCTCCCTGTAAGATTAATTTAAATTTATATGGGATATTTGTTGGTTGTTTTACGGTCAATCAAATTTCTGCTACATGATCTTCGGAAATGATAGTTGAAAAAAATGTTTGTTTGGCTCATTTGCACGAGGTGATAATTCTGTTATCAGAAGTGATCTCGCTGGTAAAATAATTGATTTTGCAGGTCGATCAGAAGCTAAAAAATATTGATTATCAATAATTTTTTTTGTAAGGTCTAATTTTATCAAAAATTTCAGTACTTGAAAGTTGGAAATAACGAATATATGTATGGTAGGCATTGTTGTAATGTCCTTTTCAATGTGATAAAATTTCTTTGGACCATTCTTTAAGGCTTATATGAAGAATAGGATTCTGCGCAATTCCCCACTTGATGACATAATCTCAAATTTCATTTGTAAATCATCTCGCTTGAGAAGTGACACCAGGGAAAATTCAGGAAGAGAAGTAAAATCTGAACTATCAAAAATATGATTTGAATACTTTGTAACGATATCATTACTATAATTTGCTAATTATTTAAAGTTCTGTCTATCATAAATAGTATCATAGACTAATGAACAATGTTTTTCTAGCCAAGAACCTTTAGTCTCAATGAGAAGGGTTAATAATTTATCGGCTAATTCTTCTAGTTTAAATCATTAGCAGTTGACATTAAATCAAAAATAAATCTAGCTTCAGCATTCTCCAAAATTAACAATTCCACCATAAATTATCTACGTAAATAAATAATAATTAATAAATAAATTCATAAAATGACAATAATAACAATAACTATTTTCATTATTCATAATAACTTACTTAAGAATAATATCAAAAATTTGAGAAGAAATGCTTGACTTGGTAATTACTTTAATATTATTATCATTTGGTTGAACGTTTTCTAATTCTCTACGAAAATAAGACGATTGATATTTCAATACGTTAGAATGCGCCATAAAACATTTTTCCTTATTTTCAACTTCGATTACATTATAATCCTCTTTGTCACTAAGAAATTCAACAAAGTTTTGGGATAACATGTCAAAAAATTTTAATGCCGTTTTTTCTTTTTGCAAAATTATTATTATAGAGAGTCGAAAAAGAAAGAAAGGGTTTTATTTTCAAAAAAAAAATTGTTTTTTCACAATCAATTGCTTTACTGAATTCGGTGTATTTGTAGGACAAAAAAAAAATTAAATTACCTTTTAGATGAAAGATCGGCACTAAATTTGGAAAAATAATATATAAGAAAAAATTAGTATCATGTGATAAGTTGACTTGATAAAAAAAAAAACTTTGCGAAAAAATATTTTTCTGTAGCAGCATACATACATTATATACAGTAGTCATTTGAATATCCCGGATAAATTATACAAAATGTTATAAGTAAAATACCTACTCATTCGTCCAAACGTAAATTTTGTCGCTTTCTTACATTTTTTTTTTTTAAAAAAAAAGATAAACTTCTTTCCTTCCTTATTTTAAAAAAGATCTAATAGGGAAATATG